CCCCCGCCTTAGCGGGTATCCGAGCGGGTATCCTCGGATACCCGCCCTTTAAACGGCTGGCAAGGGACCGGCTGGAAGGAAACCCTTCCAGCCGGACATCCCCCCTTCTGGCCTCGGGTATCCTTTGGGATACCCGGATACCCGCCCAAATTTCTGGGAAAAGGGCACATCCAAACCCCAATCCGTATCCCCTGGCGGATATCCGCTGGCGCTGGCGGGTATCCGCCAGGGGATAGCGGGTATCCGCAACGGATACCCCGCGACCATCTCTATTTTTAGCTCGAGACTAGGCACCCAATAATTTAATCTACAAGCTAAATAGTGTAAACTGGGATTAGGCCTTAAGATTGGTCAAAAAATTAATGATTTTTGTCCACTCAAATTGTTTCAATCCTGGATACCGTGGCCAAATTTAGTTACAGATAACTGGTGGCTTGGATAACTTTTTTTTGTCTTGTTTAAATTATGATGGTTGCAGTAGAAGCATTCACTACAAAAAATGTTCAGTCACATTTTCCGAATGCGCGGAAACATCACATGTCACATGCAACTTCACCTTGCATTTGCAAAATGTGATTGAATTTGTAGGGCCAAAAATTCAATCCCATTTGCAAAGTGCGAGGTGACATTGCATGTGACATGTGATGTTTCCGTGCATTTGGAAAATGCAATTTAACATTTTTTGTAGTGATTATTGCCATAATTATTTTTAAATATGTAAGAAGAGAGCCTGTTTTTTCATATCTATCAGACAAAAAAATTATTTGCTTCACATTCAAGAGTTGTACCAAGTTAAAAATCCAAAAAAAAAAGTAACTGATATGTAACTTCCCAGCGTTTTCACTGCAGATGATCCGTTTGACTGAGTTTTGAGGGGCACAGGGTTGCAGGACTGAAGTCAAAGACAAAGTCTTGTCACAGGTTGGTGACACAAAGATGATTGTGGTTTAGATTCAGTGAGGATCCAGGCTGGGAACTAAGCAAGGGTCAAACTAAATACATGGCCACGAGTACAACTATAGTAGAAGCATATTGTATATGTATGTAAGCATATGTGAGTATTCTAACACTGAGTGAAAAAATTCATACACCACATTCATCTTCTCTATTTTCCCGCCTTTTCTGACCATGATGTGCAGCTGTTCATTGATTGAGTCAATCTTACTATCTTGGTTTGCAACTGGCTTCTCTACCTTAGAAACAGTTGCAATTAATTTAGTCTGTGGTTTGCTTGCGTACTTGAGGGTGTTAAGCAGAAGGGGTTGAATCTCCTTCAAAATGGTGACAAGGTTGAGCAGTGTGTAATTTTCTTGCAGACAAGGTGTTTCATCATTCCATACAGGCCCAACAAACAGCTGGCCACTCATCATTGTGAGGTGTTGAAGGATCAGAGAAGCATTCTCTTTGATGTCACATTGGGAAAATTTTTCAATCAAGATTTGAAGCTCTTCATTTTCTGCAGTCAGAGTTTTCATTTCTTGAAGTGGTACATTTTGGGTATTGTTGATTGAGATGAGGTGCTGAATCCAGGCAACCAGCTGGGGCATGTGTAGTATCTGAGAATACCCTTGATCAGGAGGCACAATAACGAGTTGTGAAAGTTGATTGAGTTTGGAAGTGAGTTCTTGGACTGTAGATGGAGGTGGTTTGGCTGGCACCTATGTGGTATGTTGCATGGTGAGATGAATTGTTGGAACTGGGGATGATGAGCAGATGTGTTTAAGTAGGCTTGAGTTGAGTTTGTGGTGAGTTGGAGTGTGAAGATTCATCTGAAGTCGGACTAGCACTCACTCAGCAGGCACTCAGGATGTAAATGGGTTGGGTCAACCCAGGACTGACCCAAGACCCGTTGGGTTTTTGGTTAGGTTTGGGCAGCTTCTGACCCAAAAAAAAACTGAATCCGACCCGACCCGGTAAGACCCAACCCCTAATTGGGTTCAGGTTTGGGCTGCCTTTTCTCTTCTTGGGTCAACCCGCCAACCCAACTGTGACCCGGTTATGGGGACTTGCACATAGGTTTGATGGCACCACATTTTCAAGAGGTGAGCGCCTAGGGGTGCCTGTCAAACTGCCAGAGCATGGCACCTTTGGCTGGCGGTGCCCCGGTGAGCTGGGTGCCGTCAAAAAAGCTCAAAAATTAAGGTTGAAAGTGTTTTTTTTTGTAGAGGCAAGACCTCTGCTACAATGCATAGTGCTTGTGTCAGAGGCCATAACTGCATAATCCCAAGTGGTGAGAGACCGAGATGGGAAATTTTAAATCCATAAAATATTGAATCCGCTCCAAGATATCTCAGGGGCCCTTCAAAAGTAGGGTTAAAAGTCAGGTGCTCAACTGTCAGCTCCCGTCTCTTGGGTGACTAGGAGTTGATGGTGATTTGGGTCACACTATTGTTGTTTACACAACATAGTGGAAAAGGGTCGCACTATTGTTGATTAATCAACGTAGTGGAATTAACCTCTTCAATATACTAGGGTATGTGAAGGGCTGCTCCTTATAGTTATAAGGGACGACAGCGGAACAACTTCGCTGCGCCAGGCTTATGAGAAGAGGAAAACAGTTACTAGTCTAGTTACAAAAGTTAACCGTAACAGACTAGTACTAAATGAAGGGAATAGAGTACTATGTAATGTAAATTATACTAGATTATAAAACCCCACTCACTTATTATACTTGGTTGTAAATAGGTAAGGATATCGGGTTTGTATGGTAATCTCTGGGGGGAAGGAATCCTAGAGGGATAGCCTTCCTCCTTAAGTATTACAGAGCAGAGGTCAGTCTGCTTGTAGGACCGGTACAGTCCCCATAAGGTTATGTTATTTCTTTGGGGAGAAATGTCAAGAAGATTAAAGTACATGTGAGGAAAATCTCTCTTATTTCAGAAGATACACTCAAGAGAGATAAACAGGAATATAAGTATTTACAACAGAGATACACAGGATAAATCTCTTTGATAATCATAAGAGATAATTATCCTTTTCAATCTGAATATAACTTTCAGGAAAAGGATAAATTAATAAAGAGGTAAATCTTTATTCATTTACTAAACCTTTATTAACATAACTAATACATATAAAAGAGAATAACATAACTGTATACTTATTAACTTAAAAATTACATATGATAATATTTATTATGTAACCCAAGGGGGTTACCTTTTATTGTAGACACCTGGGCTAGTGTCTCAGTGTCTGACATCAACGACCCCCAATTTCAGGATCTTCAAGGACCCGGGTGCGCGCACGGGGGGTTGGGCACACTTTGGCGTGCCCCACCCTATGGCGCTGTCAACCCTACTTGCACAGCAGGGTGGGGGTGCCAGAGCTCCAAATTTGGAGCAGTCTTGCCCCATCCCAACTTGGACTTGGCTCCTCGCCCTTGGGGTACTCTCCGAGTCTGCACCTCAAACTTTGATCTTCAATCCCTCCCCACCAGCAACTCACCTCCGCCTTACTAACACCGACTCAACTTGGGGATGTGATGGTGATTGAATGAAACCCGGCCTAGTGTCTCTTCCCCTCCCCTACAATATTTATGAGTGAGATAGCAATATAAAGAATAAGATACTTGTGCAGCCAAAAAACCCGGGTTGACCCAAACCCGACCCGGACCCAAGCACCACATAGTTGAACTTATCAAAGTCCCTCGCTTTGGAGGGCCTGGTGGCCTTGGCTGGCGTGGAAGCCACTCGCGCGAAGCGCGAACCTCCGAAGGAGGGACTTAGGACAAAAGCGAACATGCCCGCGTGTCATGGTTGGGCAGTTTTGGTGTAACACAGATTGAGCTGGATGTACAGCATGCACATGACCAGATATTTAGAATTTGAGTAGATGAGGTTTTAGAGATTGGTGATGCCTCTCACCTCATCCAATTTTCAGAGCTTTATCTTGGAAATTGGATGAGGTGGATGTTTTTCAAGTTGGTCAAATTGAGGAAATGTTCTCACCTGGTAGGCAGTGAGGTTGAAACAGGCTTATGTAAGCTCAGCCAACTTTTCATTTAGCAAATTTTCCTTAAAAATTCTTCAATTGTGTAGTTTTTGATTTTTTTCAAAAATTTCTTGATGGAAGTCAAGACCACCATATTGGGCATCTTCACCTCAACTCAGTTTTCAAAAAATTTACAAGCTGAATTTCCTAGGATTTTTGGCGCAAAAAACAGCCAAAAAACTTGACTGTGACACGCAGGCATGTTTGTTTTGGGCTCAAGCCTCTCCCGCACTTCGTGCGTTCGACAGAGAGGCTGTACAAGCTCGCCACATATTGTGTTTGCAAGAAACCTTGGATCAGTTTCCTTTTTGAATGTTTTGTAATCCTTTTAATTTGATTTTGCTAATCCGATATTTTTATTTTCTCAGTCGGGTTTTATCTTGACACATGTCAGATAACACCCAGGGATAAAGCCACCTCCGGAGCCAGGTTGCTCCAGTAGATGCTCTTGGAGGAGAATTAAGAAAAAACGAGGTTCATATTTGGAACCGGAGCAGTTTGTAGGTCCACCAAGCCGCTGACCGGGACTGCCGGTCACTCCCTTCTGCCCCATCAGTGATGCCGACCAAGCACTGGACTGTCGCATGAGCTGAGGAAGAAGTTGAAAGCCCTGGGACACCTGAGGCAGAAACTTATTTGAAATTAATAAAGCAAAAAGGTAAATCCATAATTTGGCAGGATTACAAAAAATTCAAAAAGCGAACCGATCCAAGGTTTCTTGCAAACACAATAGTTGGGTTCGGGTTTGGGCAGCAATTTGTGCTAGGAGGGTCCCTGCGGGACAGCGTCCCCCCTCCGAATACGAGGGACTTCATTAAGTTAGCAATTTGTGAGATCTGACCCGACCCAACCCAACCCAACATGTATCTCGGGTTGGGCTCGGGCATGGTTTTTTGACCCGAACCCGACCCATTTACATCCTACTGCCAGGCACCAACCCCCGGCAGTTGGATCGGGGGTTCACACAAAGCGCGATTTGAAAAAAAAAAAAAAAAGAAAAAAAAAATCACAGCTGACGAAGCCAGAGGAAGAACGAATGTTGACGACGAGGAAGATGGAACAAACTCATCCAATACCATCATCAACAACAACAACAACAACTAATCACAACCAACGACCCATCAGAACCACCATCCAGCCACCAGATCGAATCCAACTCATCAAAGCAACCCATCCAAATGGAATCAACAACAACAGAACCAGCTTACCATTCACCACCTCGCTCTCAAGATTGCTATTCAAGCTACTCTCTTCTCAAAACCATCAAAGAAAAAATACTAGCCTAATCAACAGGATAACTGAGTACGTCTCATTCTCAAACACACCTACCCACGAATAAGCCGAAAGATCCATCAATTCAAGATTTGGAGGAGTGAACTGATCGTGATTATGTTTGTATCACAACAGGTACCTCTCACTCTTGTTGATTAGGGAACTAGCGACCTTGGAGGATTTATTCATCAAATCGCCCATCTACCGACTCCTCAAGTTCTTGACCCCGTCGATCCTACCCAAATCATCAACCTACCCATTCCTGCTGACCCTGATTCTGGGCGGGATCCAACTGAAGAAGCTATGGAAACACCAACAACAGCTAGTCTTCAACCTCCTCATCTCACTCGGCCCACTACTCAACACTCTTCGCCTGCTCACTCACATCCAAATCGACCACGATCGCATCCAGAGTCGTCACACTGACCCAGACCACGAACTACTTCCCAAAGACCAGCATCTTCAGGAACTCAGGAGATGGTCTCTCTACTGGCTGGTCTATTGTACACTCATCAATCTCGAGAACCTCAAGCTTTCTACCTCTGCACTTTCCAATCATCTATCCCCCATCATCTCCCGCCCGACGATCTACCCTAATATAACTCCGATCCCTAACCAAATAGAGAATATTAAAGACTCTTATCCCGAAAAAGTATTCCAACTCTTCAAGAATCTCGCGTCTCAATCTTCAAGGCACTTCTTCCACCTCTTACCCACCTTGATTAAGCCAGCACCATCACCATCAGTAATCCGTAAAAATATCCCACCAAGGCTGCCGATCGAGTCCTTCGATCTCCATACGCATCCGACCATCACCAGCCATCGACCGGTCCAAGTGTATCTGCCCGAGTATCTATTCGGAAAAGATCGACGAGTGTATGGGATCATCAAGCTAGGCTTTTTGAGATGGTGTTCGAGCGATCGACGCCGAGGGTGCGAGAAGATCTGGACCCACCTCCTCGGCCCGATAGTGAGTGTGATAGGTCGATCAGACCGCCGGGTTACTAGAGGATCCAAGAGGAGGATGAAGGTTGTGCAAGTGACGATCGATACGGAGGATGTTCAAGAAGAAGATGAAGAAGAGCAAGATCCGACGGACTCGAGCTCAGGCCCAGCCAAGATCCTGCCCCATCGACCCCCATCATCCTCGTCCCGGACCCATCATCCCGCCGCCACTCTGCCCGACCACCCACTCCGGCCTGAGGAGCCCCCCGAAAGCCCGGCCTCCGCCTCTGTCCGTCGGATCCGATCCGACCCCACACCCGCCCGCTGGGAACCTACTGGCCGACCCGCACATGCTCTTGCGCTCTCCGCCGACCACGACCAGCTTCACTCCGATCCCACAGACCTCTCGTCTGCTCATCCTACGCTTCTCGATCATACTCATCCTCATCCTCTCATCGATCACTCTGCTTCCTGCGACAAATCTCCTCATAATCTTCCCCTGAGTCATAAACAACACCCTAACTGTCTCGCTAAAGTCCCCCATCCTATCGACTTCAAAACCCCGGAAAACGCGTGGAATACTCTAAGCTTCATCGGGTGAAACTCGTCTTTGATTTCATGAAGCAGAGGGTTCCTTTCTCATGTATTGATATACCCTTTCCTAAATGGTAATCTTTCTTTGCAATCCTTTTCTTAAACAAAAATCAGTCATGCATTTTTTTGGGCTTTCTTTTGTTTTTTTGTTTCCAAGTCAGTTTAGACTGATATTTTATGAGATGCAATTATCTAACGAGCCACTCTACAAGACACATACTCATTTCCCTTTTGTCTCGTTTTTTTTCTACTTTTTGTGAGGATCGGAAGGAAAGGGAAGAGAAGGGAAGGATGATTTTTTTTTTGGGGGGGGGGGGGGCTGTGTTGAAATGAACCTTTGAACGTGCATATCCAGATATCCTTGGTGTCAGTCAATTCAGCCCTAACTTAACTAAGTCCCTCTTTATTCGGAGGGGGGACGCCGTCCCGCAGGGACCCTCGCAAGCCATCGGATGAAACTGCCGGAGGTACTTAGCTAAGTTAGATTCAGCCGTGACCTGGGAGCTGGGATCAAGGAACGAACTATGCACTCTCATCATCAGAAAATCGGTCAGTTTCATCTTCAACATTGTACTACAAAACACGGCCATCACATTCTCAATTTTTTTACTGCACTTCATTGGAGCAGTGGGTCCTGGTATGTATGTGCCGGTCAATAGCCAACTTGACGGCGGCCAATAAAAGCCTCAAACGGACGTTGTGCATGTGCAACATAACACACTCTCTGGAAGTTTTCTTTACGCGGCTCCGACCGGTTTACATCTAGGGACGATCCTCCTACTCAATTATGTATACCTGCAACAAATTAGCCACTGCTCATCGAGGCGTGGTGAGCGCGTGAGGCTACTGAATTTACTGAACGACACTTATTTAAACAAAGCAAGATGTGAGGTGTAGTTGTACAATGGTCTGTGTCCCCCATGGCTGGACTGCAGCCTGCAACAAGCCCTCCATGATGACGCGCCAGTGCTGACGTGGCTGCTCGAGTTCCTTTGAGGTGGGTGCTACATATAAAAACTCACTGGAGAAGCCGAGGATTGGTGACAGTCTTTCCATCTCACATCCACCGATAGTTGATCTCCCTGACTGAAAACATTCTCGAAAATATCTTCTGCATCGTACTTGAAATGCGTTTCGACTCGAGCTTACTGATCCAGGCCTTCACGGTCTTCTTCATGATCCAGCCTGAATTCGCGTATGGTGAAGGGGTCCCATTGGGCTCATGTCCGGGACAATATACCTGCATGGCTAGAGGCGGGAATACGTATTACGGTACGTACATCTTTAAGGTTCCATAGAGCGCAGGTGTTTTAACCCGGCTCCTTTGTAATGTCCAACAGCAGGACATACTAGGAGACAGTGACTTGCTGACCCTTATAAATCCTGCTTGGGTTTTTGTTGTTGTTACTGTTCGTCATGATTCTATAGCCTCGGACCCGAAAATCGTCAACAACCAACTCGTCACATGTCCATCATTCACTCAACTGAAATGTTGTATCAAAAAGGTGTGTGTGTGTTTTTGACCTCCTCAGATTCTTTTTGATGATTTCATACATAGTTATCAGAAAAAGCTTACTCACAAACACCGTTGTTTGCATGATGCGATAAAGCCAAGTGGCACTTTCCCTTCCGAAGCTCTATTCATGTTGGCTTGCCGGTCGAAGCCGTAGTATAGAAGGCAACAACAAAACCGACGCTTTAATCGGCCTCAGTAGTTTGCCAGCGCCTTCTTCCCCCATATGTTATCTTGTTCCCACTCAAATCAGTTATGACACTTGGAACAATCCCCTGCTTCAAGTTAGCCACTTCAGTAGTCATGAAATGTAGGCTCCTGAACAACCAATCCGATTTGTTTTGCTATCTCTTTTTTACACTTCAAAGAACCCGCATGTTTGTCATTTGAAGAAAAGAACAAAAGAAAAAAAAAAGAGTTGCCAGTTTGCGTTGTTCAATTTTGCTGTTTAATGCCCTTCATGAAGCCTAGATTACTCTGTCGATCAAGTGCAAGGCTCACTCCCTGGTGCAGGTTGCCGGTTGGTTGATCATGCTGTTGAATGAGTGCATTTTGCACCCTCTCAGGAGGCCTCCAAGTCGCGCCACATTTTTGTTCTTGATGTGTCCAGTCCGAATGGGGATGTTCCCTTCTAGGTTGCAGGAGCTTGGCTTGTTGGCCGGTAAAAAGAAGTCCCGTCTGGCTACATAGGAAGTTTTCTAAACCGCGCGAGAAGCAAAAAACACCCTCCCGAACTCAATTGGATTGGGCTAACTTAACTTAAATCCCTCTATGGGAGGGGGGACGCCGTCCCGCAGGGACCCTCCGCAGGAGGGGCCATCGGATCAACTGCCAGAGGGACTTATAAATGTTAAGGGGTTTGGGACGCCTTCAAGGGAAGATCATGATGATATCGTTTGCAAGCAAGTCTCTCTAGTAGTAGGATCCGTCACTTAACCAACTTTTAACAATAAGAGAAAAATGCAGATAATTCCAAAAATCCTTCTCAGCTTCTTGATCCTACAAACAACATTTGTTGTTTCGCTATCTCCACCAAAGAGCCAAGCACCCGCACCCAAAAGATCCGGATCCGAGGGAGCAATGGGATCGTCACCCCCACCTCAAACCGACCCGCCACACTGCTGCTAAGAATTTGTACCAAGACTCAAGAGTCGTGAGCATCTTTTTTTTGGCTCTACACTCTCGCAATTTTCAAATGCAAACTACATAAACACCTCTCTCAATGAAATTTTGTGCCTTCCTTTTTTGGAGAGTGATTGCAACCAACAACATCCGAGACGGCCGGTTTCTACTAGTATTGCCACAAGCATCAAAGAATTCGATCTCGCTTATCGGCACAAATCAAGCCAAAACAGTGCGACATAACTTACAAACCCGACTTTTCTTAGCCTTTAGCTATATGGTCACCCTTCCTGTTGTCTCTTTCTCCGTCTTTTTTCCCGCCCCTTTCTCAGCTGCTGCTGTTTCCTTCTTAGGATCTACTATTCACATCAAGCGGACTACACTTTATAAGACAGACAAAAGCGACATATCTGTATCATCCAGATCTTTGACGAACGAATATCCACCCTATCCAGAGCTTACAGAAACAGACCCCCGTTGATAATTTTAGGCTCGAGATTTTATTTGCCCGATATTCTTTTGGCTGCAGTCTACAGTAAGCTGAAGAAAAGTGCAAGAGTCGAGGGATAACTCTTCACTGGACACGGATGACACACACGAAAGACAAGGCTAAGCAGTCTTGGTGAGAATTATTGAACCGAGGTGTCATGAATTACTAGCACGGTATGTATGCATCAGGGCCCCACTGGCACGGGCCAAATAATCCTACGGGAGGGATGATTGTGTGTGTCAAGAGACACATTGATTTCCCAACCTCATCATGTGGGTGATGATGAGTTGAACATAATACAACTTGACAGGGGTTCAGGGAAATCACGGCTTCACCGCCGGCTTGAGTTACCGTCAACTCACGAGCAAGGATGTGGCTTTGTTCTGTACAAGGGTCTAATGGATCGTTGATCGTGACCCCTACGGAAGTTTAACTGGTCACTGTACCGGTGCACAGTACTGCAGCCAACCATTGAGAGAGAACCGGAGTTTTTGCAGCTGTTTCCGTAACCGAGCATGTGGCACAAATGTACAATACATGTTGCCCCAGCTTGAGTCTTTCCTGAGAGCTTTCTTCCAGGTTATGAAGGAGTGCTCACGTTGGCGGCAGGGTTGGAAAATTCCAACTTAACCTGCCCACTGATTTGGCACCGCAGAGCTTGTAACATACCTCCTAGACGACTCTCAGGTTCAAGATTAACATACGATGCAGTTATCCAACTTATTTCCGGCTTTGATGGTGATCCTGATTCACGGTCAAGCTTACGTTCAATGTTTCAAATGCACCGACGCTGATTTTCCGAAAGCTGCCTGCGGCCAATTTTTGATGGGAGACAAAACACAAGCTAATGACCCTGATCAAGACAAATCAGGTATCACTTGTAAGGCGTCTTTCCACTTCGCTTTCACGGTCTTCTAATTCATTTGTAACGGGCGAGACTGACTTAGTTGATCTTTTGTGTTTTCCCTTTTCTTCCCTATTGATTATGTTTACATAGTTCGGCGCGCTCATCCGATTCCGACCGACGAAAAACCTACACGCGATAACTTGGCGAACGAAAATTACACCTGCAATTATTCGAAATCTCAACGTAAAATTCAGGCTTGCTGCCATCATAAAGTCCCAGTACGTTGCAAGCTCTATGATGGAGCTCGAAAGTGTAGAAATTGATTCGATTGCCACCCTCTTTCACCACAGCTTGACGGGAAGAGACTTGGGCTCGGCAGTCTCGAAAGCATCTGCCGAAGGAACTACCAGCCTTAAATATCGCCAATCTTTCGAAATTTTATCTTTCAACCTCTTTTTACTCTTTTCGAACCCTTTCAGGCCCAATCATTTTGATGGGATCACACTTCCGGAGAGTTTTGTCAATATAGTTACCTACGAAAATTTTGCTCAGCCTGGCCTGAATAAGATTTATCTTGTAAATACGCACGACCTCACATTCGTGTACACATACACTTAAATATGTTGTTGTTGTTTTTCATTCGACACAAAGAAAACTCAAACAACGGACACTCGGTTAGGACTCTTTTTGAAGCAAAATACCACACATATTTACTATAAAGCGTCGCCAAAGTCCATGTCGGTAATTTTTTGGGGTCGCCGCTCCTAACTTGATGACGCCATCGGCGGTTGTCCATCGGATTTCCTTCTCTGCGAACTGGGAAAGAACTGTCTCAGCGCTGCGAGAAGACTAAAACATCGACAAACTGGCACAAAATTCAATATCTACCGGATCGGTGAGCATACATCCTCATCCTCGAGCTGGTACCGACCATACCAACTCGGCAGGGAGATATTTTCAGCGAGATGGCACGGCTTTGTGCGGCTCGGGGGAGTGCGATCCGTATCGGCAAGCCGGTGACACATCAGCTTGCCGATCCTCCTTACTAATGATACATCCTCCTCGGCGAACTGTTGCAGGCCCTCGCTGTTGGGAGGCATCGGCAAGCCAGAACCAGCTCTCCCAATTCACCAGGTGAGAGTCCCTCCTCACCAAGTTGTCCTTACCCGCTTGTCGAGGACGTGTGATGCCGCACAGCCTCTTCTGCCAGCTCGACAAAAAAGCCACATCCTCGGTGTGCTGCTATGACCTCTAATAGCTCGTGAATGCAGAATTGCAACGCACAAGATGTCAAAAAGCACTTCTAGTCAGAAAGGACTTGAATGTGACACCAAGATACAAACACTGGTTTTAAGTAAATATCAGAACCACGATCAACTTGTTTTTTTCATAGTGCTTTCAGAACAAATATGCTGGAAGGAGCCACTTGTGATAGACACCAACCTTAGGGAGAGGATAATTGCATCCATGAAATTGAACTCAAGCTTCTTGACCTTGAATTGAAATGGACACTATAATTGTGACCAGGTTGCATCAGAGCATTGTGAAATGCAAATGTCCTCAGGAAACTTCAAAGAATGTTGTATGGATGGTGAAATGCATTCTACAAACATTGAATTAATTACTGATAGATGATTTGTTTGGAACAGGGTGGGTAACGAAGTAGCAGGACAAATTTTGAAAGTCTACCAGGTGGATATTACAACATAATGACCCAAAAAAGCAAAAATGAGGTGTAAACTTAATACCTTTGACAGCCCTGATCACTATGCAGGGTTAGATAATTGTTTTCCAGAGTTGTGAGCTAGTGCTTATCAATGGATACTTATCATCTTTTTCATATCCTCTCTCTTGTGCCAGATGAATATGCATATGTTTCACCTCCTTAGCCACAGCTTAGCCATGAGTTGTTATGTTTCATGAGCTCTGCATTTAGGCTCCATTTGAACAGCCCTTTGTATGTGATAGATTGTCACATTTATTACGCGCAACCCCCAAGGGTTGCAGACTTTTTTGCAGAGTTCAGGTATAACAGGGTTCCTATTTATGACACATAATGGGTCATCCAAATGGGGTTTTAAATAGAAATAAATCATTAATTCTTCTGTGTCCAACCTGTATGGCCAATCACACATCCACTTGTAATGAGAGTGCATTACCAAATCACAAGCCAACAGACTAAAATTATATCTTCTTTTCCCCATCCTGTTTCTTGATCTTTTTGGATTGTTTCACACCTTGTCTCATCTCTGCCCACTAGGGACCTTCTTTCATCATGGTTGTATGTACAAGACTATCAAGAGCTTTTTGGAGTCACAAATATTTAAATAAGAAAGGGGAACAATTTGGGCTAGATTTTGCAACCTCCAGCATGATCTAAATTATATGAAGCATTGATTTGTTTAAAAGGGTCTAAATAGAATGATGACTATTATGATGTGTTCATGTATTTGTTTTGATAACAAAATGAAGCTTTTTGGACTCAGAAGTGGGTGAAACTTTTCAATCTTGACCACATCAATTTTCAGTTCTGATGAGGAAAAGCAAGTGCAACTGGCAGAATTGAGCCAGGAAGAAATAACTTTAGAAGAACATGTGCATTTCTATCAGAAAACATAGTCTATTTTCTAGGGAATAAGTGATACTATGAAAAAACTAGAAAAGTGGAACAATATTACAAGAGTTCCAACAATGTTCCAGTTATGGTAACCATAGAATTTGAACAGTGTAATGTAGCAGAATTTTGCAAAAATTTAGTGTAGCACAGCAGAACTCTTCCATGAATATGCTAACGCTACACGTGCAGGCAACCAAAAAACGGCCTACTATGCTGTGCTACAGCAAATTCTAGCAGTTTTTTTGGCATTTTTTGAAACTAGAAGCGCGGCATGACACATGCAGTGGGATGACACTACAGTGCTGTCATGCTGTTTGTCAGCCTCTATGCTACTAACCTGTAAGGGTTGTGCTCTGAGTGTTAACAAGAAGAGTAAGTGAGAAGGTTTATTTGTGGTTAAATCCCTCAACCTGTAAAAGAAACAGGGAGGAGTCAGTGAGGAATAATACTTCTACTGCTGACTCATCCAATTATCCAATTGGGCATTCAGATCAATCCTGTTACGTGGATTAATAGGCTTCCAATGTGAGGAATTCTTCTACTCACTTGGGATCAAGTCTTTGAACAACAATCCAGATGAATAAGTGTATGTACACTTAAGGACCAGAATTGTTTAACCAGGGGGATAATTCTTTATGCAATAGAGATAAGTAGAAATGCCTTGAATCTGAGCAAAGTAAATCTATTTAGGTCTAAGATAGCTGGGTTGTAATGTTATTGGTGGATTGAATCACTAATAATCACTGTACAAGTGTTGGTTTGATGCTACTAGAATTTCCTGGGGGGAAAAGGTAGGAATCAGGGCTCCTTAAATATTCTACAGGGGGCTCAGGGGAAGAGGAGAGGACCTCAGGGCACTAGGGAGCTTCTTAGCAGCTCTACAATTTTGTGTAAGGATGGGAGCTGCAGCTGTGCAGTGCTATGCATGGGTGGAAGGTCCTAGGACATGAGATCATACATGCATAATTGAGTTTTGTGGCCTATTTCTCACGTAATTGAAAAGGCTACAGTTACTGTGCAGGGGCTTTGCAATTGTAGAGTTGGTTGCATATGTGTAACTCTGCTTATGCAAGCTTGTGATCATGAGAAATGCATGTCCTTCATGCATAATTCAGTCTTGCATGTAGAATTTGGGCTCCTTTCCCGTGTAGGCTGCTTTGAATTATGCAAGCTTTGAATTAGAGCACAAAAGGGTCCTGATGACGCCATCCAAGAGGGTTATGATGCAATCTGATGCCCTGATGATGTGATCAAGGATGGGTAAGCTTCAGATAAGTTTATATAGCTTATTCCTCATCCATTTCACGCTTCTACTAGCTGACTCTTATACCTATGTTATTAATTTATGTATTATAAAATATGTACATAATGTATAAGAATAAATATTGTTTTAATACCTTGTTCTAAAGCTCTTCCTGTGAAATCCTAGTGATATTATATGTACAATACTCAAGGGGATTTCACAGTTAATTATAGAATTATTAAATATAAATTATGAATTAAGATTAAATGTAAATACATATTTATTTATTTATTATTTTAACAACAATGTATAATATTTTCCTGTATTCAATTAGTTATTATTATTTGCAGTTACTAGGTACATTTCACGTACTGTGAAAGGTGCTCTGTGGCTGACACTGTTTTCAGGGCTTGTATGATAACATTAGCGGGTGGTTTACCTTAGTTTAGTGTAGCAGCCCCTCACTGCGAGTTCTGTATTCCTACGCTTTAAGACCAGGAAAAAAATGCTTACTTGAGGACAAGTGACATCAGGCTAAGTTCAGCATGATACCCACTATGTACCCAGATTTGCTCCAGTTCAGCCCCCTGTAGCACCCAAACGGGCCATTGTAGTTGGATTGCAGTAGCACTGGACTTGGAGCTACACTGGAGTGTTGATCATTTTTACAGTTGCAGACGGCATAGACCAACCCTGCCCTGCACGCAAAATTGAAAGTTGACACAAAGGGCCTTTCCCTGGGAGGGGGGCATATACCCTGACACCAATGCTGAAACCAATCCGACCTGATACGGTATTGGCAGATTTCTTGGATCAGATTGATTTTTCGATACCAGGTATTGAAAAATAGGGGATTGGATTGCTAGGGCAATCCAATCCCGGGGTATTTGATCAAAAGAGTGTTTGTGTCAGCTGTCGACCTTGCATAGAGATCAAGCTGGACAAAATAGGTAGAAGTAATAACAAAAAATATTATTACTAAAGATAAGGCTAGATAAAAAAGAGATTGGATAAGAGAGAAGAAAAGAAAAGGAAGATGCTTTTGTTTATTTATTTGTTTAGTAGATTTTTATTATATTCTTGAAGAATAAATTTTTAGCCGGTAAGGAAACACCTAGGCCTCTGTTACTAAAGTTAGTAGCAGGATCAATCAAATAGAGATGGTCGCGGATAATCCGCCGCGGATATCCGCTATCCGCTGGCGGATACCCGCCAGTGCCAGCGGATACCCGCCAGCGGGTGCGGATTCGGGTGCGGATGCACCCTTCCCCCTGAAATACTGGC